TTGGTCATTACTTCAGAGCCCATGTAACCTGGTGAGTTGTTATTTGGGAATCTTTCTCTTGATATACAGAGAATAACTTGAATGATGGCTACCATCAATCACAGCAATTTTTATGTCAAGAAATGAAATGATTTGGTGGGAAGTAGAAGACTTTTATTGGAGTGATGGGTGAAAGGTTTTAACTAACTGGAGAAAAGATCGAGTTCATCACTATTGCATGTAGCTATACCAAAAACATTATCAATATATACTTGTAATGCATGGCTGGGAGGCACCTGTGTAGTTATGAAACATGCAATCTTCAATGTAACCAACAAAGAAGTAAGTATTGGAGGAATCCATTTTAGTTCCCATGGCTACATTCTTCACTTTCTTATAGAATTTGTTGTCAAAAGAAAAGAAAAGGAAACTAAGGAAGTTAGGATGGAATCAAGGTGTAAGTAGGGAGTTGGTGAACTGAGGCAGTTAGGATGGAATCAAGGTGTAAATAGGGAGTTAGGATGGAATCAAGGTGTAAATAGGGAGTTAGGATGGAATCAAGGTGTAAGTAGAGAGTTAGGATGGAATCAAGGTGTAAGTGGGGAGTTGGGACGGAATCAAGGTGTAAGTAGAGAGTTGGTGAACTGAGGCAGTTAGGATGGAATCAAGGTGTAAGTAGGGAGTTAGGATGGAATCAAGGTGTAAGTAGGAAGTTAGGACGGAATCAAGGTGTAAGTAGGGAGTTAGGACGGAATCAAGGTGTAAGTAGGGAGTTAGGGTGGAGTCAAGGTGGAAGTAGGGAGTTAGGGTGGAGTCAAGGTGGAAGTAGGGAGTTAGGGTGGAGTCAAGGTAACAAGAAATAAGTTCAGTAGGGCAGATACATATTGAAACTATGGGTCTACCAGGATTGTCTGGCTTGTGCATCTTAGTAAGAAGATAGAATACAGAAAGTCTAGGGTACTTTACAATTAAATTCTTAGCTTCTAATGGAGGTTCCTTATTTCTTATCAGTTGTTCTGTCATGGCATGAACAGTCTGTTGATATTCATCAAGAGGATTGTTATCACAGATAGCATGGGACAATTGGTCTGATAATTGTTGGTGAGGTTTTTGAAGATAGTTCTTTCTTTCAAACAGCTACTGCTTCTCCTTTGTCAGCTTGTTTTATTACAATGTCATTACAGCAACAAAGATCATGTAATGCCATTTCTTCATCTTCGTTGAGGTTTCTAAAAGATGAGTAGTTGTGAAATCCAAGTGGTAAATTTCATTTCAACGTTTCTCTATGTATTGATCGAGTGTAAGAAATTTCCCAGATTGTTTGTTGTTTTATATTTGTATCTGAGAATGAAATGATTTACTGGTGTTATTAGGTGGCATAGCTGTTTCGTATCTTGACTAATCTGTAGCTGAAGTGTAGAAATGTGCTTGAAGATGCAACCAACGAAAGAAACGATGGACTTTGTGTTTAACTCGTTTACATGTTTTTTAATGGGAACAAAGTTAAGGCCTTCATTTAAAATAGAGATCTCACTATCTCTTAGGTCAGGAGGTATTTTGACAACACAAGTAGGCATTGTGTTCACTGGTACGTTTTTATGGCCATTGTTTGGTGATGCTCCCATGTTCTGACAAAGATTAGAATTTCTCTTCCAATATGATGAGTTGAGATTCAAGAGTTTCTTGGATTATAAATTCTTCATTGTGTTGTTATATAAAGAAAACAATTCCCAGACTTTATTATGAATGTTATGTGCAATAGTTTGATCAGTAGATTCATACAGTCGGTGACGTTAATAGTGAAGTTCAAATAGAAAAAGTTGTTTGGAACAAAATGTCCTTAACGTGTCGTGCATCAAACCTATTAACATTTCATCAGTCTTAGTCATTAATATCCTTGCTTGTCATGTGAAGAGAAAGTTAAATTTTAGTTTAAAATCTGAAAGGATTAAACTGAGATTTGAACAAATGCAAAGAAAAAGATATATGTATCTGGTTTTAGATAAAGTAGCCTTTAAGAAAAGGAGACCAGAACAATACAGTTGAACAGGATAGGGATATAGGTAGTTTAGTTTCATTATGAAGACTGTTTTGTGTTCTCTTAGAAAGAGATGTGATGTTTAATAAGTCATGTAAGAAATTAGACTGTTGAAGACAAATCACTCTTAAAAAACTTTAGTTTTATTTCCTCTTCAGTGATATTTGAAGCAAACTTCTTTTTTCAATCCAGAATCAGTAGGATGTTCATAAAGGATTTAATGCATGAGAACAGAATGCAGTGTGAAGTATAAATACAAAATTCAAACAATATGTTAATGACAATATAAGAATGCTGAAGAAAATAGTGATGAGCTATTGATTAAAATTAAGTAAATAAAAATGATTATAGATATATAAAAAAAATATACAAAAAATTGAAAACATCAAAAGAAAGAAAACGATTTAAAAACAATAGTGAAAGTTAATTTGAAAAAAAGCATTTGTTAATATCAAAGTTATACAATCTAATTTGATAACAATGCTTAAGATTATGATTCTTTAATGTTTTAGGGAATTTGTTGTAGGGCTGAAAACACACAAGAAAACTTGTGTAGAATTTCAATTAAAAATCAGATAATCCTTTAGCTCAACACTTCAACAAAGCTGATCATTCCATTGAGCAATTTAAAGTACTTGCCCTACAACATTCCCTCCTCCAACACCAATAAAAGAATCATAATTAAAAAAGAAAGTATTTTTAAATTAGGTTGTATAAGTCCTTTTGGTATTAATGAATAGTTCAGCTTCTTCTAAATTTTTTTACATATATATTTAATTTAATACTTTTTAAATTAAATGTCAAGATGAAATAGAAGGTTACAACTTGTTGTTTATTCTTTTCCTTAAGTTTTTTTTTCTCCCTGGTTTAAGGTTTATATAGTTATTTTTTTTTGCATTACTGTAAGTCTAATACATAATCCTGTTTGGCTGGACAGTACAAGTGTGAGGGTACAGGTGATTTCAAATTAAGAAAATATTATTTCTTGTAAGATACAAGGAAGCATGTAAATCTGTTAGGAGAGTACATACACAAGGGCTCGATATTAATGTCTGCTTAAGTGCCTGGAACTAGTGAAAAACAGGTTTTTGTAAATAATTACAAAGACTATTTCCAACTAGATAAATTAAAAAAAAAACGTTTTGACCTTAATTTCACTTGCTCAATATTGATATTTATTTTGTTTACATGAAGTTATAGATTGCAAAAAAGTTTAAGTGCTCTGTGTATTAGTTTTTAAAATTTTCCTTATTAAAACTGAGAAAATTGGTTTGTGGAAGGGATGAATGGTGTGGCTAAAATAAATGACATTTGTATTTGCCAACATTTTAATAATGTTTACTTCAAATAACACTTTTGTAACTATGGGATGTGGGCATCCTAATTCAATGCACCTGCTGTGTGGTTTGTTTTATTACAGTGCAATAAAAAAACTACTGATTCAACCAGTGTGAAACTTCAGAATTATATACACTTTCTACAGTGTATGTAACTTTGACAAATAAAATATATAATTTTTGTAAGTGATATTTGTATGAATTAATGGGTTTTAAATTATGATATGTTGTTCAAGAAACACTTAAAAATACTTACCTTTATTGTATATATCTTAGTTACTGATTTTTACATCTTTCAACATTTAAAAAACTTTTCTTTGATATTATTTTCTAAAACTAACTTTTACCTTTGATTTTAAAAAACAAAAAATACATGCAGTTTCACTGTTTATGGTCACTAGTTTGCTATAAAAGTAACTTTTACTGTATTAGAAATGCAATCAAATCAACTTTTTTTTTTTTAACTGGAAGATTTAATTTACTATATTTAATAAGTTTTAACCTGTTTTGTGTGTATGTTCTTTTTTACATTTGTTTTTGTCAATTTTTAAAAATTGTTATTATTTATTTTACACATTCAAGCAGTGATTTAGGCTGACATGGCTTAATGCAAACAATACTTTATTGGTAAAACAAAACTTGATACAGTTGAGCACAAAATGAACTAACTTAGCCTAACTCATCTTGTTCCACACAAAAAACATTAATTTTTCTGCTATACTTCAGCATCTTAATTCAAACGAAAAATCAGAACTGCTTGTGGCAGAAGTTGTTTACACATTTTCTTCTAGGAATTTATTATGAAGCTAAGCTTTTATCACTTTGTTATGATATCTCTGCTGACTTAGAAGCATTATTGGCTTTTATAGTTCAAAGGAATGGGAAAAATTTCTTTTTAAAATGCAGTAAATGTATGTTCTTAGTCAAAAATGATGGAAGCTAAAAACAAAGAACTCTCAATAAAGTGTTATGCTTCAGAATGAAACTGTATAAAATTATATTGATAATTTTCAGTTACTAATTTGAAGCTGTTTTTGTGTTAAAAATGCAGTTAATTTAAAACTCTTTTCTTTTCATTAATGCTTCTCATCTCAATATGTTTTAGATTTGTGGCACATTAAAAAAACCCATAAAACTGAAAATTATTCACCTCTGTTTTGTCGAGCACTAAATTATTGTATATTATTTCTTAACAAAGGCACCAAGAAATAGTAGCAGTCTTATGTCAGAATTTTATATATGATTTATGAAACAGAAAGACATCTTGCCTCCATTAGTTTGAAAAACACTAGCATTTTTGAAATATTTTCAGAAGATTATGAGAAACAAAATGGGGAATATACAAGTGCAAAATGAAAAAGTTTGTTAATGCACATATGCTTTTAATTGTCTTTTTTGTTGTCAGTTAAGTTGTTAATTGTAATTTTTATTGAATATTTTTAGCAATTTTGTGGTAGTAGCTATTGCATAATTAATGAAGACCATGACCTTTTATGGTTGACCTCTAGTGCTATGCAGGGAAACATCTTTCTAATATTTTCTCCAATGTAAAATATAACAATCTTTTGACTCAAGTATATATGTTATTGTTTAGTTATACATTTTTTCACAAACAAAAACATCATCTTTTTTCTGTGTCTTTTCAGATTTTTGGATGCTTGTAGTTTTGGTCCTATTCTTCAGGATACAGCAGATTCTGTTACAGGTTCTTCAGAACCCTCTCCCAACATGAGCCAGGCAGTCAGTGGTACCAATAATCAACATTCCAGTTTGGCTAGAGTCACTGTCACTAAAACTAATGATGGTTTTCAACTCAGTCAAACAGGTAATTTTATTAAATGTTCAAGAGTTTAAGTAGCACATTTTTCAATTGATTAAGCAACATTTGCATTAATGCAAAGACACGTGCAAATCAAAGATGATACACACGCACACAGTTTATAACCATATGTTATTATGACAACAGTATTTCACTTTCTTACAAAAATAAAATTGTTTTATGTGAAAGCAGAAAGATTTTTCCAAACTGTATGATACAGTGAATGCTGCTAAAACAAAGAGCAACATGATTAGACAGACCCCCTATGAAAGTGGGAGGATGCTTTTTATAACCTAACTTTTGTTTTGTGACATGTAAGTTAGCAGATCACATCTAATCTAAAGTGGATTTTTATACGATTCTAATTGGATATAATCATAAATAATTTTGATTTTAATATTGGTGAACACAGATTCCTCCGTATAAAGCCTTGGACTTTATTAGGTTTCTTTTATTTCATTGTAAATCATATAGTATTTTTATTATAATAGTGTAATATTAATGTAATTTATTTAATATTATCAAATTAATTACTTTAAAAATAAAATTAATTTTTTGGTGTTGTTTTTCCTGACAACTTTTGAATATTTTTGTGCCCTTTTGGCTTGTGTTATTATACTCCTAATGCAAGTTCTCTTTTGTATAAAGACTGTTTTCACCATTACCTCATAAATATCTTAAAATTAAGTGAATTGGGCTTCTGCATTTTTTTTTACAAGCATGTTATAGTTCTATTAACTTTGCATCCATCATGTTACTTGCTTGTTTCTTTATGCAAATGTGAAGCCACTTTTCTAAGATTTTCTTTCATGCTTAAAAGTCCTGCTTTTCTACATTTAATGGCCAATAGTATTTAAAGGGAAGTTAAAACAGTTCTACTTACTTGATGTTACTGAATGATGTTTGACTTTCTGACTAAATAATTTACTTAGATAATTGGTGCAAAGTGTGATCAAAATAAAAAACAACAACTTTTATTTCTTTTCTTTTTACCAAGTGTAGTGAATTACAGTCCGTGATCCCAGACACTATTTTCAGTTTTTCTTAGAACATAAATATAATAACCAAAAATCATTTACATTATGAGAGTAATCAGTAAATAAGTCTACATATTTACAATGCTAGAATCAGGGGTTCGATTACCCTCAGTGGACACAGCAAATAGTCTGATGTGGCTTTGCTGTAAAACACATACAATAAATAAATTATCTGTGTGATATGACCTTTGCTGGTTTAAGAAGACTTTTTATATGGCGAAGAAGAATGGTATTTTTGTTTCTTGTGGACCGGTTAATTCTTGTAGTAAAAATATATTGCTAACTTGTATCATTAAGTAATCTGTGAATCATCGTTCTTAAAATTTATTTAGCTCAGTTTGTATTGATTTCATAGTGTAATAGCTCTTTCTTAAATTTATAATATTGTTTAAGCTGAATAGAAGCTTTAAAAACTATGTTGCTTTTAAGTATCAACAGGTCTAGTTTTTAGCTTCTTAACTTTTGTTAAAGCAGGTTTTTCAATACAATAATAACTTTTGTATTAAAACATGCTTCAGAACTAAAATATTCAGTTCTTAATAATCTTTAGTTTATGCACAGTGTACATAATATTGAACCTTGATGATAAAAAAAAAAACAGGTGTGGAGCCTAACCTGACCTCTTATATTAGTAAACATAAAGTTTTAGATTAATAATTCATTTGTACTTGGTAGTTTCTTCAGCTAGGAAACACACAATTTGTGTAGTATTTATTTTAATTTTGCCTTTATGTTTTAGTATAATATCTATGAAATCCAACAAGACATGAGATTACAGTTATAGCACCCATTTACTTTTGACATTACTCAAGACAATTTAATAAATGTTGCACAAAATAAGTTTGCTTAGTCATTTTTACATTAAATACTTCAGAATTAAAAAAAAAAAAGAAGAAGTAAAAAGCATAAATTCTAAATATTTTGCAGTTTGAAAGCAATGTTTACTAGAAAAATAGCTAGTGTCTTTTTTATGGGGTCATTTTGCTGTTTTTTGAAGAAATGTTAATTTGCATAATTATACATTCGTTGCACAATTTTGAAAATAAGATGTAGTAAAATGCAAGTCATGCATCATTAAATTTTGATTTGTATGAATTTTCTTGGAAGATTCCTTGTATATGTATAGACTACAAAACATGACTACATTTATAGGTAGTTCTAAGTACTGTCAGGTATGGGCTCAGAAGTTATTAATGTGTGAAGAAGATGCTCTTCGGCTGAAAAGAACAATTGAGGAATTTCGTATGAAGGTAGGAATACAAATAAGATTAGATTGTTTTTAAAATGCACAGATTTGAAATGCAAGCAAAAATTTGCTTTCATACTAAGCTACAATAAACTTAAAACAACAACTATATTTTGGCTTGAAGTAAGACTTCATTAAAATTTGGTATATTAAATGCAAAGTATCTTTTCAAATTGGTGTTACACAAACATTGAAATACATAAAATAAAAATAGTATTTAACTGTAAAGATTACAAAACTAAAAGTTCAATGTATTGCCGTAATTTAGGAATTAAAACACTTTGTTCGGAAATTTGTTTAAACAAACTTTGTTAATGATAATAATAAAAAACATAGGGACTCCAAAGTTTGTAAATCAAATCTAAAGAGACCTAATAAAACCTATTAGTTTGGTAAGTCTTACATTGATAATTTTTACTTTTGTGCCTTGTATACAGACACACACACACAAATTTCTTTGGGTTTTACTGTAACCAAGTATGAAATTATATCTTTGGAACCCAAAATCTTATTATAAAAACATTTCAAACCAGTAAAGTATAGTTTTATTTTTATAATTTTTGTGTGTATTATTGATATACCTAGCCCTAAATTTCTTGTTAAAGGATATATGTTACCAAATTCTTTGCAATAAGGTATTGTTTTGTATTATGTATTAAAATTGATGATTATATGTTATGGTCTCATGTACACGTTGATGATGCAAACTGAGACGCAATGTTCTATAAAATTGAGCTGGGCCAAGATAAGTTTAAATTTAGTATTTAAAGTTAAAATTGAACCAAGGACAGTCCTAAGGTAAAGAATAGTTGAGATGTGACATGCAAATAGCAAACTTTAATCCTTTTATAATGTAAAAATTGAATATATCTCTATTTAGGTTTATTAAGGTAAGTCATTAAAAAAAAAATTGTACAAGGATTTATGCATATGAACTAGTATATTAACATTAATTTTGATGTCCAGCTTTGATTTGTGTTAATTATACTCCTGATGAATGTATGTCTATTCTTGATCTGTGTTAAGTATAAGGCATACATTCACCAAGGATATACCTAACACAGATCAAAGATAGGCATACATTCACCAAGGATATAGCTAACACAGATCAAGGATAGGCATACATTCATCAGGAGTATACTTAACACAGATCAAGAATAGGCATACATTCATCAGGAGTATACTTAACACAGATCAAGAATAGGCATACATTCATCAGGAGTGAATGTATGCCTATTCTTTATCTGTGTTAAGTATATCCTTGGTGAATGTATGCCTATTCTTGATCTGTGTTAAGTATACTCCTGATGAATGTATGCCTATTCTTGATCTGTGTTAAGTATATCCTTGGTGAATGTATACCTATTCTTGATCTGTGTTAAGTATACTCCTGATGAATGTATGTCTATTCTTGATCTGTGTTAAGTATATCCTTGGTGAATGTATGTCTATTCTTGATCTGTGTTAAGTATATCCTTGGTGAATGTATGTCTATTCTTGATCTGTGTTAAGTATATCCTTGGTGAATGTATGCCCATCCTTGATCTGTATTAAGTATACTCCTAGGAACTCCTTAAATGTGGTTGTAGGTCACTGTGGTAACATTCACTTTATATTTTCTAAACTGTTGCAAGTAGACTTTCTACATGAACAGGTAGAAATGTTGTTATTCAAGTCATTTGAATGATCATTGGTTAGACTGTGACTTAAAGTGGAGAGGTCTTTGCAGTCCTGTGTAACTTGACAAATGTTTTAACATGAGTTTGGTACATTAGATTTAAATTTAAATTATTTTAGGCTTTTCTAATTATACACTTCTCTCAAATTAATAGTTATTCTAAGCTTACAAGAGATTTATTAAGATAGCTGGCTAGACATAAACATTAACTTGACTGACACAAAACTATTTAAGTAAGACTCCATGTAAATTAGGATTTTATCAGACAGAACAGAGAGTATGATATATTAAGACTAGTTTTGTTATGTCTGCCATTGAAAATGTTCCGTGTGAACAAAGAGTTATGCCTCCACTTTGTTGTTGAGTCCATTTGTTTACTTTGCATAGCAAATCTTTTGAAATCTCTAATTATAACAATCTTTATTGAACTTGTCTTGTTGGTCAAGTGTGCCTTGGAGTACCACAGCCTTATTATCAACAACTGTTGGAACTGTTATCTGTTTGTATCTTCTGTGTCTTTCATTTGCAGCCACTTGTAAACATTTGCATTAAGTTATTTTCTTTCGGTTTTTATTTATATCTTTGTTTACAGAATTTTGTTGTTATTACATACACCTTCTAAGTAGGCTTGAACCTTAACTAAGCAAAGTTAATATGAAGTTTTATAAACTGTTTTATATTTTGTATGGTGTTACTTATTTTCAGCATCATCAGTTATATCTACTGTTAGTGTGTTTAAACATGAATGTAGTAAATTTACCATGTTTGTTTATGTTGATCTTTTATCAAGGATAGGTTCTTAATGATTTGTATTTTTTTTATTCCTCTTTAATTGCTGCACTGTCAGTCCATTTTACCCAGATAAGTGTTTGGATGATAGTGGTTTATAACAATTTATAGTTTAACATCTAGTTATTACACAGATATCTTTTCAATTAGTTTTGTACTAATTTACAGGATGGCTGATAACCTATCCATTAGGCAAGGTTACAGACTGCATATGTTTGGGTGATGTTTTAATTATTTTGATAAATTATTTTTTATGTTGAAATTGTTTTCTTGACAATCCCTTAAGAAGAGAGCATTATTTTCACTTTCTTTTGTTTCATACAGTGCAGACAGCTTAATTTTTTCTACCTAGTTTTAAGGCTTGTTCTGTAATGTTTTGTTGTATAAATTCACCTAAAAAGTGCCATTGTGGTACTTGTTTTAACTTACCATAGAGATAGCTTTTCTTTTCAGTTTTCTAATTCATTGAAGGAATTAATTTTTCTCTGAATTCATTGAAATGTAGACAGCACAGTAAGGTGCTTAATTCATGTCCTCACAAACTGATTATTAATTAAAGAATGTCAACAGTAGTAACAAATAACCATATACATGAAAGAGCATCCATACAACATGAAAAACATCTATAATAATTTATTGTGTTGGGCTGTTTTTAGTTATCTTATAATTTCAAAAGGATTTTGGGCATTTAAATCTTGAACTGCATTTTTGTAATGTATGCACATTCTGGTTTCACTTTAAAATATTTGCTGAGGTACCTACAGTCTAAGGATTGAGTGTATATATATTTATTATGTTCCTTTCCTTTTCCTGGGCTGGTTTTTTGTACCAATATTTAACTTTATCAATGTTGACTGACCTAGAAAATATGATTATTATTGTATTTTTTAAAGGAAGTATTGAACTCGCCTTATGTTGTACATCTTCTTCATTCTGCTTACAGTCTGGCCAAACGTTAAAACATTTTTTGGCAAGAGATGGTTGTAATCTATATTTTTCTTTTCAATTCTAATATTTATGTTTTATGGCTTTTAATTAAGATCCAGTTATATAAAACTATATTTATTAATGAGGTTTGAGTTACATGTGTTTATTACCAAAAATCTTGTCTTGGAATAAATTGTGAACATTTTTGGGTTGTATTTTAGATTTAGTGCACAAACTAAAGAATGTTTGAATCACCTCAGTATTGCCAGATGCCATAGAACAAGAACATTTAAAGTGACCTCATGAAGGACTTTACTAATCTTTCTGTCAGTACATAAATATTAAAACCAAGAAAGACTATCACAAATTTTTAAATTCTTGCATGTCTGTGTAATAAAGTACATAATGAATTACACCAATAATTGGTTTGATCTTTAAATATGAAATTTAAATGTATGAAAAAATTATTTTTATATAAAGATATGTCGAAATCAGGTTCTAAATTAAATAAAATTGCTGAACCCTTTGAGTATAAATTTGTTCAGGTCTCTGTATCTTTTACTTCTCAAAGTACATTATATTGGTATTATAGATTTCTTTTAAACAAGGTCTGGCATGGCCAGGTGGTCAGGGCACTTGACTCGCAATCCGAGAGTCACGGGTTCGACTCTCAGTTCTACCAAACACTCTTGCCCTTTCAGCTGCTGGGGTGTTATAATGTGATTTTAATCCCACTATTCGTTGGTAAAAGAGTAGCCCAAACGTTTGCAGTGGGTGGTGATGACTAGCTGCCTTCCCTCTAGTCTGTCACTGCTAAATTGTGGACAGCTAGCACAGATAGCCTTCGTGTAGCTTTGCGTGAAATTCAAAACAAACATATTTTAAACAAAGATAAAATATAATCTGTGACTTAGAGGCCTACCTAATATGTTCTTTGATTCATCATATCCTTTGCTGTGAGCTTCAGATTTTACCTATTCAAAATTCAACAGCATAACATGGATCAACAAACAAAAAAAAGTATATACAGTGGTGTGTATATAAAATTTATGGAGTTTTGAAGTTGTTTTCACTCGCCATGTGGCACAATGAAGTAATATCATTCCCATGCCTAAATTAATGTAAGTTACTAAATGGTGAGATGAAAGGGACCTAAAAAGTGCATTAATAAATCATATTGGTTAACTATATATGTACAAAACATATTTGAAGCTTATTACTTTGAAGATCAAGAAAGATTGGTTTACAAAAGCTTATATTCTATCCACTGCAATTTACTAATAAAGTAAAATATGGCCAGTCTTGATTGATTTGGTTCTATTACACCTATATGGAGCATGTTATTTTTTTACTAGAACATGTTCAAATACACTGTGATGCTTTTAAAGTTTATATTTCACTGGGGCTACATAAAATTATTACACATTTAAGTAATTTAAAAAAAAAATGTCATAATGCTTATACAAGAAAACAACACACTTTTAGTCATTTTATGTACTTTTCTTTGTGTATTGTTTACTGTTGGAATAACGGAGTTTACTGAATAGATGAGGAATTAAAACAGGACTGTAATAGGATGTGTTTAATTGAAATTGGATACTATAGTAGATTTGTGTTTCTTAGACAATACAGGATATGAACATGTTGAAAAGGTTGGTAAAGAAAGCAGAAACAGACCACTATGCTCTTTTCCAGTAAGTCAGTATTTCATATTTGTTGTATATCCTAATACGAAAGTATTTAAAACATGTACATAAAGTAAATTTTTCATTTTATTAGTTTACTCAAATTCCACTTTATTTCTTAAGAAACTATAATATAGATTATAAGGTTTAATTCAATTGCTCTTAGTCTTAATATGTTAGTAGCTATTGTCTACTTTAGTCCCTTATATAGTAAAGTAGTATTAATATGACTGAAGTAAATACATACAAAAATAAAATATCTGTATCCAGTTTTGTTTTGTTTTTAGTGTGTTGCAGATTACTTCTCTTTATTAAAACATGTATTATATATGTAAAATCCAAATCTTAATACAAATACCAATGTATAAAACATTGATACTGAGCAGTAACTACAGTATCAATAACTTTGTGTATGGTAAAATGTTAAGGAGTACTATGTTATTTATACCAGTCTATAAGAAATGAATACAAAGTAGAGGAATTATCATTGACCAGTATTTATTCCTTTTTGACAAGTGGTTTTCTCATTCTAACTTGAGCTCTCAGGTTTTGGGACCTTTTGACTCAAGTGTTCCATGCTTTGTAAGGCTGATATTAGTTAATCCTTCTGGCATGATATTTTCTTCACCCATTTTTCTTTTTACGTCTGTAATTTGTTTTTTGCAGTACTTTACTTTATGTCAACATGGTTCCTGACTTCAATCTGTTTCTACCAACATTTGGGGCCTGTGAGGTATTCTGTGGCAATTTATGCATCTTTGGAGTTTTGTTTGATATTCACGGGTCTTTCCTTTCATCTGTTTTTTGTTTACTTCTAAATAGGACTTTAAGTTGTCTTTTAAATTTTGTTTTTACTCTTTTACCCATTAATCACCAGTATCTTAGGTCATGAGGTGTGTTCACATCTCTGTTGTCTAATCTTACATGTTTATTAAAAAATAATAAAAGAAATTTGAATTGAGTTATATATTTTTCATATACTTGTTTCTAAGCTTTCTTTTTGAGAGAGTTTAAAAGTTGTGCCATATTATCTCAAGAGATGTGAATATCTAATTTAGACACATTCAATAGTTATATTCACATATTCATTAATGTGGCATTGCCACAGTTCTGGAACTATTCACCTAACAGCTGTAATTGTTTTTGATGCCTATGTCCATGGTCTCTGAATCAGTCTTGCTTACATGAGTGGTGTGTTGATTCTTGTTGTATTTACTCTGTAGATTTTAAATTTTGTTCTTTGGGTGGATTGGATTATGAATTTATCTTGGTTTCATTTATGTTTTACTCAGTTTTTAGACCATATAGGCACATTTATTAATTGTAGCATGAGTGGGATTCAAATGTTTCCCAAGCAATTCAATTATTTTTTTAAAACAAATTCATTTGAAACTTTACTCACACACTGTTTCCTCTGAATAACCTCAGCCACAATTACTTCCTAAGCTGGTAGTTGAAAGAGTTTCTTACAATTATGGAAATGAATTATTTTTAAAAAAGTATTTGAAAAAATGTGAAGTTAACCTAGATGATGATTGTTTGAAGATACAGTTTATTGTCAGTACAGGGAAAAACCCTTGATCAAACTTCATTTGAAAAACCTAAGTAGATTAAATAACATAGTCCAGTTAATTCTAATCTCTTGTAAATCAGAATAATTTGTTTTAACATCTTTCAAACTGTGTTAGGAAACATAACTTTAAGAATCAGTTCATAACAACAGTGAAGTTGTCATTAGAAAAAATAAATAAATAAACATGGAAGTATCTATAGTAAAAACAAAAGTATATTTTTTAAAAACAGAAATATTACGTGTTTATAGTTTACTTATAAAATATTTTCATAATGCAAGTTATTATTTTTTGCTGCTTGATGTAAAAGTTAAATGCTGCTTTTATAAATAATGCATGAACCTCAATATATGCTGCTCTGTTTATGTATTCTTATTTTTGCCATTTCAGTTGTTTTAAAATGTATGTTTATGTAATGATTAAAATATTACCCTTTCATTTATCCATTAACAGAACATAAGACTTGAAACTGAAACATATTTAAACTTGAAACACACTATTGGCTTAATCATGTTAGTATTATTACGCAGGGTTTACCAGTTTTTAAAAAACTGTGGATACAGAGACACATTGCTATATCGTATGAAGCATGAGGGGTCTTTAATGTCAAGTCCAGAGTCCTCTGAAGTGGTGGCCATTTTAGAAGAATATCTTCAAGCTAAGAAGAATGGTGAAATCTAATAGATATTCCTGTGGATCATTGTTCCATATACATACAAAATATGTGCAATGTGATGTTAATGCAGATGTTGAAACTATAAAGTAGTTGGAGTGATAATATATATTATGCTATTTTTCAATGGCTTTTTATGTTGTATGTAAATAAAGAAAGAAGTTCAAATTCTTTATGTATTTGTGTGGTATCTTCACTTAATCAGATTCTTGCTGCAGGCCCAGAATTTTTTGTTTGTTTGTTGTTAAGCACAAAGCTACACAATGAGCTTATGGATATTGAAACCCAGTTTTTAGTATTATAAACCATGAGGCTTATGACAGATAATTATGTATACTTGGGTTATTACTGGTTTTAGTTTAGAGGAAAATAAAATTATTCATTCTTAGTTTATAAATAATATCCCCCCCCCTAAAAACTTATAATAGCAAGTTCCACAGAATGTCAAAACTGTGCAACAGTCTGTGAACATAAAATACAAAAAGCCTAGAAAACAACAAAGCGTATAAATTGTGATGATTTACAGCAGCATTAATTTATGTATTTTATTATGACTCATTCTTCTGTAAGAACAGTTTCTGGAGATAGTAACCAAAAACATGCTCAGTATCAAAGACTGATAAATCGGTGGAAAAATAAGTCTTGATGAGAATGGTTAGAGAAGAAAGGAATTTTTTTCATTAAACTTACTGGGGTTTTATCTGACATTATTTGCTCTTCACCAAATAGAATTTATGGAAATTTGTATACATAACATAACAAAATATGATAGAAATGTGTAAAACAGAATTTTTTATTTATAATTGATCAACAACTTATACATGCAACCAATTTAATTTCTTTTCTATTCAATAACATAGTCATCTTTGTGTTTTCTTTTGATATTTTTTCCCCAGTGAAAGTTCCATAACTCAAAATATAAAGTCCCACATGAACAGTAATGACTTACTGTTGAATGTCATTGTGTAATGTACCATAAGGCACTATGCTAAATTTTAAATTCATACATTCAGTTTGCTTATGTGGCTGTAATCTCACATGAATAAAACCAACATTTGAAATCAATTATAAGCCAGGTCATGCATAGCTTGATGGCATGTTTACTCAAATACTTTTTTAGCACCAGAGTTTTACTTTTGGAACTCAATCAAATATCTTAAAATTATTAGATTGGTGTCAGGAAAATACATTTTGTGGTGTCCAAAAACAAACAAACTTAAAATCGGTTTGGGCCATTTTTTTGGGCCCTGGCAGGGATGTAAGTGATTAACACCCAAAATTTTCAGAGGATTCCACTTCTCAAGAGACACATGGTTGCTAACTTAGCCAGTTGTAGTGAGAAGAAATTCCTGGAAATAAATTTTCTTGCCACCCATCTCCAACATTTTTTTGTAAAAGTCATCTTGCAATCTGAAAGTGCTGACTAACTGGATTGGCTCCTCTCAAAGATTACCCTTCTAGGGCTCTGTTTCACAAATTCATGGCAATATCTGTACCAGCACCAAGTATAGGAAACAAAATGATAAAAATTATGTGCATTCCTAAAGCTACTATTTATAGAAGAAAAAAAAATTAACACACCATCTTAAAGCAGTAAAGTGCTTGTTGAGTAAATTAGTCTTGCAAGGAAGATATTTTCTAAGTTAAAATGATATGTATATTTGTGGTTATGCAAAAAAGACTTCTGGATGACAGAGTATGAAATGTACAAATTGTGGAGATAAGTAAATATAAAAGTTGAAATTTTATTGAACTTTTTATTTTAAATTTAGATGTTATGATCAAATTTTCCTTGTAATATTTTAACATTGTATATTTTATATTTTAAAGTAATATTCTGTGCAAAATATGTATTGACTCCTTATCTCTGTGATAAGAATATTTTCCTCAAGTTAAAACATTGTAGATATTTGTGTAGAAGAATTTGTTGTCATTATAAGACTGAATACAAGGTCTTAAAGACAACATCTGTACAAATGAAACTATGAGTGCAAAGAATTACTATGAATAAAAAGTTGCCTTAATGAGAGTTCTACTAGACTGAAACTTTATGAATGTTCATAGGATCTAGTAACCTTACTTTTAGGGGACCTGTAGAACACTTTACTAATATAATGGTGTATTACTTTTTTAAAATTCATTACTTCTGTATTTAAAAATTAGTAACTTTAGGAAAATCTGTTGTTTTTTTTACTGTATATTTATATATTGGTGACTCCTAGGAAACCTGTAGGCCACTTAAATAACCTAATGTAATATCTTATTGAGTTAATATCTTCCATATTAATCTATTAATGGCTTGGAAAACCTGTAGATCAGTTTAAAAAAAATACTGTGTCCCTGTTGAGTGAAGTGTTTCCATCATTATGTACTAATGAGTTCTTGTAGACCTGTGACAAGTGTAATTAATTGGTAAACTTGTGGATATACAATTTTACAAGGAAAGGTAATAAGAGGTTATTTTGTGTTGTGGGCATGTAAATCTACAAGACAGCAGGTTATCAATAAATTATCTTGTGGACATGCAAGTCTTCAGGGTAAGTTATCTTGTGATTGTGTAACTTTGTAGGACAGGTCACTGATAAGCTGTCTTGTGGGCATGTAAATCTGCAGAGCAGGTTATTAATAGGCTATATTGTGGGCATGTTAATCTACAGGACAGGTCACCAATAAGTTATTTTGTGGACATGTAAGTCTACAGGACAGGTCACTATCAGGTTATTTTGTGGACATGCAAGTTTATAGGACAGGTTACTAATAAGTTATTCTGTCATTTAAGATTATCTCATGGGTATGTAAGTCTACAGGACAGGTCACTATTAGGTTATTTTGTGGACATGCAAGTTTATAGGACAGGTTACTAATAATTTATTCTGTCATTTAAGATTATCTCGTGGGTATGCAAGTGTAGAGGATAAGTAAATAATACCCTATCTTGTAGGCTCAAGTTTTGAAAGAAATATGGGAAATACTGGATTTCAATTAGTATTTATACATCATTTTAGAACTATCTGTGTGGTACTGACAAGACTGTGTTAGGAAAGTTAGGATATTTTCTTTCAAAACAGTTAAAAGGAATAATTTTTGTGCTTTAAAAACATTTACATGGTTTACATAATAAATAATATTAGGGTTTTTTTTTTTCAGCGTGGGAATAACCTTGAGGTATGTACATAGTTCCAAGTAATTAACATTTAGTGAATGTTGTAGATGATTCTTCTGTTCAGTAGTTTTAAGTAAGAATCTTACAGTTTACATGTGACAATATTGTATTAATTTTGGAGATAATGATTTCCCAAGAAACTATTCAGTAATTTAAATTAGTACTAGTTTGTATAATAATATAAAAAAAAGACAAAAACAAACTGTTAATGGAATGTGAAAGCAAATATTTTAAAATTTCAAGCAGTAACAACCTGGATTTTAAAATTACTATAAATATTTCTTTGTATGTTAGATACTGGGAATAAATGGAAGATCAAAATTCAAACTGTTTTGTGTAAAACTTGTGAACCAGAGTTGAGGTTATAGTGTCGTGCTTATCACCTATTAATTTGGGGCGTACTGTACCAAAAAATATCACCAACTAAACCCTGAACTCTTAATACTCGTGAGTTTCTGTTGTAGTCTGAATGTATAAAAGGTGAGTTTTATTGTTAGTAGTAGTAAGAAAGCAGACACTTGCATGCAAAAACTTGGATATGTTTATGTCATTGATCAATTCCAAGTTGTGTTTACGTTCTGTGCAAACATTCAACATTACAGCAGGTCCTGTACAGAGAAGATATACAAAGAAATAAATACTGAGCTGTGAAACATTCTTCACAATAAAACAAGTAACATAATTTTTTATATACATGCTACAGCAATAATATCAGTAAGATGGACAGTATCTTTATTTTCGTACTTGGAATGATGAGGATTAACTGAGGCACTCTAGTACAGACACCACAATGAATACTGAAAAATTTAACTGAATATCTAAAATAGCATTCAGCTGTTTAAACAGCTCTTTCGAAAATAATGTTTCTTTAACCTAAAATACTTAAAACGTTTTAATTGTGGTTTTTTTTTAATATATATGGCAACTAGTTCATCCAAATACACTGCACGTGACCTTGGACTCAATGTCCAGGTTAAAATTTTCATATGTTTACATATTCTTTTTTGTTTTTTCAGTTAAATTTATATCTGACCTTAATGTGTTAAAATTTGCTCTGAATTTTTATTTTTCATTCCACGATTTCTATCAGCTGTATTTAATGACTTATTAACTCTGGAGTTAACTACCCAATTTATGAGATTGAAGATGAGGCTTGCAAATGTTACGATATCAGGCTTAGTTCACCACTTCCAAACTTCGCAAGACAGGTATATTCCATAAAAAATATCGTTTTTCAAACTTATTTTAAAGTATCCGAATATTGCTCAATAACATTCATAAAGTTACAAGATAGGCAATTTTTAATTAAACTTTTTTTAGGTAGTTTGCAAAATTTTAATGTGATAACTCAATTATTTTCCAAAATCTACCTATAATCCTAAACTTTCCATGTACTGTTCAACGTAAAATCAGCTATTTTCCATATTATGCAACAAACCATTTATTTACCTACACTATTTATGTAAAAAAAAACAGTATACCAGTGATTCTCAAACTTTGGTATATTTACAACTGGTGATACCTGGAGTTAATGTCTGTGGCAAGCGAAAATTTAATGTAAATTTGTAATAATTCCAGGTTGAGCTTCCCTCCCCCTCTATCTCTGAAACATACACACACCTCATTTCTAGACTCGCTGGTGTTTTGTTCCCTCTTTTGACAAAAATTGCATCACATATTCTTCAATTGTGCTAGAAAAAACCACCATATTCTCCTTAAGCGTTAAAAGTATTTTTTGCTGCATTATTTTCGTAAAAGAAATTAGGGGGTTTGTAATAAAACCTGAAATATTTAAGTACCATTACAGTAAACTATTAGTATGTTTTTAGTCTACATCAGAAGCGTTGCTAGGAGCTGGCACACAGGGCCCGTACCCCGAATCCCCCAGTTGGTGTCTTGAAAAATCAAAACAGAAAACCATTATCATACTAAAACGCCAAAAATTCCCGCGCCTCACCAGCCACGAATCTTTTAATTTAAGCACCCAATGACGCTTCTGGCCTACATGACAAAATCATATTTCCTAGTTAATGTGAGAGAGTTATCACTGCGGTTACATAATCATGATGGTAAAAAATAAGAAAAACAAAAAAGTTTGTTTTGTTACCTTCTCTTCTTTAGTAGATTTCAGTTTCTAAGTTTTACGCTAATAAAAAAATCTATGTGTATGTATATATATATATATATATCAAATTTTTTTTGAGTAAATGCTAAGACCAATTTCAGAAAATGGCGTTCATATAAGGTTTATCAGGCCAATTGTACGCGTGCGCACTGTGCAATTAGATTGACATATATTTAATAAATTCATTTCCAGACGTATTGCTGAATAAAGTGAGGAACAGTCACAACAGTTGTTTCACAGGAAAAAGCGGGTAACGAGTCGTAACATGTGCTATTTTTTTATTAACTAATGTGTAAAGATATTAATTATACCAATTTCTCTTTTCTTAAGTAACGAGTTACTTTTTTTTTCAATAACGTGCCTAACACTGGCCATAGTTCAAGCAAAGTCGACGACATAGCTTCGTAATATAAAATATTTTTTTGTTGTTATTCTACGTATTATGCCAATTTTTGCCAATGATACAGAGGGAAATTTACTAGTGCAACGTGATAACGCATTAGATTCCAGTGAAATTTTCTTTTCTGACAGCGGAAAGTTTTCCTACACGGACTGACTAATACATCAAAAGATACCTACAGTTTAGCACATTAGTGTGCTTGGAATGATTTAATGAATGCTATTTGTAACTTTTGATTTCATCGGGAAAAAAATCACACATACTTTTTTTCTTAAGTTCATAAATATTAATGTAGCAAAATGTGCTACATCCGGTTCCCCAGTATATTAACTCACAAAGTTAAATAAGCTCTAAAAGTCAAAATAAATTTACAAATAATACAAGAATGGTCGATAAATGTACTGTATAGTACAATTAAATAAATAACACTGGATAAAAGGTTAATAGCTCAAGCACTTCATGCTCTAAACCTGAATTATACTTTGATGAGCACGATAACTGACACTTTTTTGGTACCAAAATAACTTGAAAGGTTGTAATCAAAGCTGAAACAAAAGTAAAACTCTTAATAAAGTAACTTAATAGTTACTATATAACCTTTTTTTAACATTCATAGCCTGAGATATAAAAATTTACATTGGAATATGAAGACATTTTCTTATTGTTGTTAATAGATTAACGATTCAAGCCCAACTTTTTTATAAAACTCAAATCCACAGCATGTAAAGCTAAAATACCTACGTAAGTTTACCAGTGAACAAATTTTCCAGATAACGTGTGCATGCGTTTGGCTCAGTGATAAAGAATATAACCGGAACATCGAATATGATTATGTCAGTAGAGACAAAACAGATTTGATGTGTTCGAAACCACACTAAATAAAATAAATAGTCACCACTTTGTTCTTCTTAGACTTTGGTAATTTCGTTTATAAGCGTAGTCTTCTTAGTTGCATATCAACCAGAAATACTGTTAATAGGTCCTTTCAAATATTAGAAACTTCGCATGACTTTACTGAGACAAGCCTCTTAACGTGACTGACTATTCAAAAGCTCGTCTGTTTACCATCTCTCTGGTGGATCTTCAACCAAAAGTCACAGAAAGCGCATCCTTAGTTACTTTGTACACATTTTGGCAGGTGCTACGCAATGTTCACAATGAGTTTTGTTCTCACCGGGAGATGGCGCTACAACAAGAAATCCCTGAGGAAAGAATAGAGACTATTTGTATCACCAGATGACGCTATATCAGCACAATTTCTTCAGTAGTTAAATACATTAAAAAGCACAGCAAACAACGTGCACGCAGCATATACTCCTAAAGATACCCACCAAAGTAACTGTTCGTGTAGCTTTTGCTCAAAGTTCTTTAAAACCAAAAGTCCTATTGTAAGACCTGCTAAAGCGCCTGTTAAATGGGCGACGTAAGAAACGGGAAGGCCTTGTTGTTCTGCAGCGTAGCGATCATAGATGGCGAATCCCACATCTGCACTGGCTGGAAAATAAATTAAAGATCATTACAATAAATAAATGTTGTGCGATTAAAATAAGTTTCATATTTAATATTATTGAAATATTTAGTCAGTATAAACAACAACAAAATAATGAAGTGACGATTTTGGTAGTGAATCTTTTGGTTTTAAAACACATTAAATATTTTTTCTGAACTTACTTAGTTATAAATGATAGCCATAACTTTGATAAAAGCAAACTACGTTGATATATTAGAAAGAAAATGAACCCATTAATTAATATAGCTAATTTGATATACCGTTTCAGCTAGATGTATAAAAAGTCATGAAACAAAAGCGATAGTGTCAGCCGTAATCCCAGTAATATTTCATGAGGATCTATCAGTTTGGCACGAGTTAACTGTACTAAATAAACCGTTAGTTTGAACACTTAGGTAAACGAAATAGTTTTTGCTGGTTTTTCAAAAATACATCCTCACATTTAGCAATATTACTTACCAATGATAAATATACCAGCCAACCTTACCAGGCCAAATTCCATTTGATTGTAGTTCTGAAATATAAAAGATTAATATAAATACATATATATATTGGATAAATGCTTTGATAATTTCCAAGTAAAATACAAAAACAAAACATCAAATTAATTAAGATCAATAAACCTTTGATGTGTATGTTTCCCCAGACTGTAATAACTGAAAAGCTACAGCAAAATTAATCTACAGAGTACAAATTGAGTGGTTGTTAACTGTAATTGTTAATAAGTGACACTAAGGAGGGGTATCTGTGTGGGCGCAGGGATAAAAGCATGGTCCCTTGTTGTTTGTATGACATGTTTCATACCTGCAGGATGTGTGACGACTCGGCAAAACTAACCTAAAACTACAATAAACGAAATCTGGTATGAGAATACGTACATTATTATTATTAGTAGTAGTAGCACATTGATTGATTAATGAATTAATATCACACTAGCATAATACAACGTTAAACTGCTACTCACCAAAAGAACGTTGGAAAGATGAGCTGCAAGTAAAGCATACACTCCGCCAGACGCTCCAACCAGATATACATCTGTGTCGAACACTGATGTTCCAAGTGAACCTAAGAAACAGAAGAAAAAAAAGCTTTTAAATCTTAATCTACCCAACTATTGTATAATATTTTTTAGCCGCGGCACAGTGGCTTATAGAATGGCTTTGAGATTTCAAGTAACTTTCAGCTCGTAGCTCTGTCACCTCTTGAGCGATCTGAAATCTAATTACAGTTTTGAATTCAAGGGGTCAAACCCTTTCGTTTGATGTATTTGATCCTGCCTAGAAGAATTTCAAGTGCCGCAGCCACTGAGGATTCCCTCTTGTTTTATTAAAGATTATTATTACTTTGTCTTGAATAAAACTTAAATTTAGTTAAGCTGTGATCCTTAACTACATCAGCCTTTTACTGCTAATTCACTTGTACAAAGTATTCTTCATAACTATTGTTCAGTAATGGGTTAGAAGTGAGAACGTTACACAGATCATACGAACTTTTTAGTTGAAATTTGTTTATCAGCTTAACTCACAGTGTTTTAACTTCTATTCTCATTTTTAAAATCTTTCTTAATCTCTTTCAGAATCTTAGTGTCGTTATTTCAATACTTATCCACTTATCCGGAGTTAAGCACTGGATCCTATGTGCCATTTCGGCAAGGGAGGGATTTGTCCTTAACTTCAACACCATCCAGTCAAACCATTCTTTGATTTCTTTCTTAAACCAATGCCTACGATAGCTTTTTTATCCACTCTATTTAAATTTGTATCAAAAGAGCTCTAATTTTTAAGGAGTTTCCCCAATCTCTATAAGTATTTCTGTTTCATAAATGCAACTTAACACTTATATCTGATCCAACCAAAATAGGCAGGCATGTATATACCACCCCTCTATCTAAACTATCTAGTATGTATAACGTCTTGAAAATAATTTCAAAGACAGTGAATAAAGTCTCCAGGTGGGACAGCGGTAAGTTTACGGTCTTAGAACGCTCACTTCCGGCGTTCCATTCCACGCGGTGGACACAGCAGATAGCTTGATGTGGCTTTATTCTAACGTAAACAAATAAACAGTGAATAAAACAAGTATAAAATGCAAATATTAGGTCGTCAATAAATTAATGTCGCGTTTTGGAACACTTTCATTACCCCACCCCTCAAAAAAAAAAAAACAACGTACATCACATATAATAATTAAACGAACCGCCCAAACGTCACAGTAGTGTAGCCTATATAATGTGTAAAGTTTAGTATACTCTAATCCTATATAGTGATGGCACACGACGAGACACACATTCGGCATGTAATACTGTTTGAATACAAGAAGAGAAACAACGCCTCTGTAGGCACAAGGAAGTTTATGGAAATGTTTTGAACGTTCTTAAGTGTCAACGATGGTTCAGCAAATTTCGTTCGGGTGACTTTAGCCTTACAAACTACGATGGCAGGGGCCGACATGTTGGAATTGATGTTGATGCTCTGAAGACGGTTGTTGAGTCTAACCCAAGGCAACACTCTCGTGCAATGGCCCTGAAATAGCATGTCTCTCATGAAACAATACGTAAACATCTAAGGAATATGGGAAAACTTCATAAAGAAGGTGTTTGGATGCCTCACAAACTCTCCAATGACCATTGTTTCTAACGTGTGAATGTTGCTTCGTCTCTTCTAGCGCGTAATGCGCGTGAACCATTTTTAGACAGAATTGTCACCGGTGATGAAAAATGGATTTTATATGCGAATATTAAACGCCAAAAACAATGGCTCTGTCCTAGACAAAAAACACTTCCGACCCCAAAACCTGGACTCCATCTGCAGAAAGTGATGCTTTGCATTTGGTGGGACATCAAAGAAGTAATTCATTTCGAACTCCTCAATCCCCAGCGAACTGTCAATGCAGAGATCTGTAGTCAGCAATTGGAACGTTTAAATCAAGCCCTGCATCAGAAACGCCCTTCACTCGTCAATCTGAAAGGTGTTCTTCTCCAGGACAATGCAGATACACATGTGGCACGTTTGACGCAACACAAGATTATGGAGTTGGGTTGGGAAGTTCTACCCCACCCACCATATTCTCCAGATATGGCACCATCAGATTACCATCTTTTTCGTTCACTGTAATACCATCTTAATAGGAAAAAGTATGCAAATGTGGAAGGTGTTAAAGAGGGCATCGACATGTTTTTTTGCTTCAAAGCCAAGTGATTTCTTTAATCATGGCATTAACAACCTGATCGTAATATGGAAAAGCATCATCGATAAGAATGAATACCATTTCATTTAATAAATGTTTGGTTTTGATATACAAGTTGTTGGGGTTTTTTCATCTAAAAAACCGACATTAATTTCTCGACGACCTAATATTTACACAGGTAGAGTCACATACTGATAGTTTAGACAGTGGCGGGCAATCATCCAACCAATCAAATAGTGCCACACCAACATAATACCCATAATAGTGCAACGTGTAACGCTTTTCCCAACAGCGGGTACATGAATGCATCATGGCTATCAGGAGAGAAAAGCTGTACGATAAACGTGTAGAGATTTTTGTTTTAGCTGGGAAAGCTTCTCCATGAGAAATTTAATTTTTTCAATAGGATCTGTATGAACACTGAAGAAGGTACGTGAAGCTAGTAAAGTTGATAATAGAAGCTGTCGAGATAGAAAGGTCGAAATATCAAAAACAATGTTAAATAATGACAATCCAGTTGATATCTTGACCTAACAGTAAGTACAGATGTGAATATTACCTCTAGAACAGTAACATATATATTAGCAAGAATTGGCCGCAATGGATGTGTTGCTGCTCAGAGACCATTGCTCAGGAGAAATAAACAAACCAAAAGGCTAAAATGGACATCAGACTTCAGACATTGGGAATTAACGATAGTCTGTTCGGTGGCAGAGAAGAAAACAGTATCATGGTCAACTTACAACATCTACAGTGAAGCATACTGGGTGACATATACACGTTAGAGCTGTATGTTGCATCATGGCAAACGGCATTGGAAATCTATACAACATTTATTGCATAATTACTGTCGACAGGTACGAGCAGAATATCCATCATGTCATTCTCTCAGGAATAAGACATGTTTGACAGAGATTCATCTTCTAGCAGGACAGGATTCCAAACATGCAACAAACGAGTTGAAACAATACTCGGAAGAGAAAAGAGGCCTATGGAACACTTGACCTGCACAGAGTCCCGATACCATTATTAGTTTGGCCTGCACAGTCTCGATACCATTATTATTAAGGCTTTGTGGATGGTCAAACGGAACAATATTTGACAATAATATGTCGATAAACAGCATAAAAACAACGTGTACAGCTCTGTTTAACACAAATACAAAATACTAGTGCACTGTACAAGTTTTTATTATATTACACTATTGATAAAGTGGCCATACAGTTGCACCACGACAATAGACAATTTTAAGAAAACTCGTACCAGGACATTATCAAATTAAAAAACAAACAAAAAACTCGTGTTACGACAATGGCCGCCTTTAGTAAAACTCGCATTAGACAGTACCAAGTTTAAAAAAAAAACTCGCTTTACAACAATAGCCACCTTTATCAAAACTCGCATCAGTTCGATAACCACCTTTATTAAAACTTGCACTAGGACAATAGCCACCTTTATCAAAACTCGCATCAGTTCGATAACCACCTTTATTAAAACTTGCACTAGGACAATAGCCACCTTTATCAAAACTCGCATCAGTTCGATAACCACCTTTATTAAAACTCGCGTTACGACAATGGCCACCTTTATTAAAACTTGCACTAGGACAATAGCCACCTTTATTAAAACTCGCGTTACGACAATGGCCACCTTTATTAAACTTGCACTAGGACAATAGCCACCTTTATCAAAACTCGCATCAGTTCGATAATCACCTTTATTAAAACTCGCATCAGGCCAATAGCCACCTTTATTAAAACTCGCACTAGGACAATAGCCACCTTTAGTAAAACTCGCATCAGGCCAATAGCCACCTTTATTAAAATTTGCATTAGGACAATAACCACCTTTATTAAAACCCGCGTTACGACAATAGCCACCTTTATTAAAACTTGCACTAGGATAATAGCCACCTTTGAAACTCTCATCAGGCCAATACCAAGTTTTAAGTAATCTCGTAATAAGACAATAGCCACCTTTAGCAAAACACCCACCTACATCACCTGTGGGTTTCTACACATGAGAAAGTCGTATTACTAACTTTATAAAATTAAAATATTGAATGGTGAAGCTGATGCTGCAGATTTTGAAGTCTTGTGACCAGGGCCTTAGGCCAATTCGAGATACGAGAACTTATTGAGTTACAAACGGCAGCTGTATTCTCGAACGAATTTCATCTTTCTTATACCGAAGTATGATGTATAAAACTTACAGAGCTAGTCGCAGCAACCAGTAGTTATATATGGAACTAAAATGGTTATAATATTTTTTGGGGGCAACTATATCAGTTGTATAAGTTTTACTTTAATATAAATGTGTATGCGCATGTCTATTTGTACTTCAGTATATGAATAGTTTTTCCTGTTCTGCAACATTGATAAACATTTACAAATTCAAGTCTTCTTCGTGCAGTGAACTACGAAAATAGAATCATTATCTGAAAAGTTCGCCATGAGAATTACAGAAAAGGGACGCGAAACGCAGAACCTCTGCTCCACATTCTGACATGCGCTCGGCTCTTCCACCATACAGATACTATATAGCTCCTAAAGGTAATTATCATAAACATAGTTCTTTTGTAAATATTACGTTTCGTTACTGCTTTGTTTGGATTGGACAGCCTTCAGACTTAAACGCTAAAATCCAGCGTTCCTGTCCCCGCAGCGAGCACAGCAGATAATAGCCCAATGTGGCTTTACTCTAAAACAAACAAATAGTTGCTTTGTTCGATCTTTCTCAGAACAATTATGCACTTTATTAACTTTATCACAACCACAGCGTTAAAATGTTTGAAGGGTTTATTCAACTTGCATTGGTTTTTGTTATATTTATTAGATGTTTTCACACAGTAAAATACACCAACTGCCAGTAACAGTCAATGTAGCTTCTTTTGTTAAGGCTAAAGAGGTTTATCAAAACTTACGAGTAAATATCATTGTTGACACTCGTAAAACAATAATACTGGTTATACTCCAGAGTGTAGATGAAAGAAACTCACCTGCTAGCACTCCTGCCATGTAGACTGTTCCTATTCGCAGGGAGCCATGTACCATTTCTAATGGTAGTCCTACCAGCACCTGAACCAGCAGATTGAAGAGAAGGTGGATCCACCTAGTGAAGAAATGTAGTGATAATAAGATTCAAACCACACTTTAAAAAATGTAAAACAGGTAAACACTACTCTACGTTGGATGGAAGTAAAATGTTGATATGTAATTGGAATAATAGGAGAAATACCTAGAATGTATCTATTGTCACGGGAGTCCGCAGACATTTTTCCAGGGGGGTGGGGGTGGGGGGATAGTGTGAAATTGTGGATTGAATAACAAAATTCATATACATATGCTGAATAAATAAATTAAGATTTACGTTTCTCATTTTCCAGATGGGGGGGGAAGTACCCCTCTCGCCCCCACCGTATTTATCAATACGGACAAATCAAGGTAAAAGAAGCCCACTGTACTTATCAATGTGAGTAAGTCAAAAATTCATAGTTTACCGTCTTTATAAGAGCCACCCATAAGAAACTTTCAAAGCAGAACTTGTTTTATATATACCAGTTGTCAGTCTTGACGATGAACTTACCCCGCGTGAAGGACCATATAGAAGAAGAATCTCCAGACCTCAAGCCGTTTGTCAGGTCGGTAGATGAAGAGGCTATCGATCGGGACAGGACCTGTCGTAGTGATTTCTCCCATGCTCACTGTATAGTAGCTAAAGAACCCCAGCTGTGGTAAGAAAAGTTGTGAATATATGAAATAACTCAGTAAAAGTTTTTACGTTATATATGTACATATTATTTTACGATAGCATTTTCTTTTGTCAACACTACCGTTAACCATCAAAAATTTGTCCAAACTTGATTCACAAAGTCAACTTTACAGTCACCAAAAAAGCATAATGTATTATAACTGATTTAGTTGAAGTGTATTTTTAAAACTGATTCCGAGTTTATGTTTTAATTAAGTCTATACACAGAAAAACGTGTATAGATGTAAACTCCAGATAAACACCTAAAAGTGATAGATGTAAACTCCAGATAAACACCTAAACATGGTTCAAAGCTAGAAAAGATGGTAAAATCAACTTAGTGTATATTATACGGACATCTCCCGCCATTTTCGTTTGTGCTAGGAAGACTCGGAATGGAGCCCGAAACGTCGTCCCACCAGAAAGAAAAATGGCAGATGCCTATAAAGATGTCAGTCAATAAGATCAAAACAGTGCCAAAAGAAAGCTTGTATTATAGACAAAATATTTAATAAAAGTAACATAAAATAAACAACGTTTGTCCATGCTTATAGTTTGATTTTGATAACAAGCTTTTCATTCTCTAATTTGGCCTTATTCAGACGTGACTAACTGTTTATGTTCAATATTAAGATGCCAATTAAGTCTGAAAATTTTTAAGAGTTCTGTTTATATCTATTTTCTCAAAACCTTTTGAGCAATTCCACACTTACACGTGAATTATGATATTCGTGAAATTTTGAACCGTTAATGCATGCGCATCCACTCGTGCTAAGTGGATAACTATAAGACTTTTCTTATAGCTTATGCGGAGGCATTTGTAAACTACAGAGGTTGAGTTCGTTATATCATAACAATTTTGGATCCCAGAACGTCGTTACAGTTCACGTCGCCCCTTTCGGTCATATTCCATCTGACGACCATGCATCTTTACAATAGCCCTGTTTTATCATTTTGCGTATTGTTGAATACTTTTGAAATTGAAGTTTGTGTTTGTAGATTCTCATCTGTTACGAGACGCCGCAACTTGGCGTAAGACTTGTTGCAGATCTCTTTTTGGATGGTCTTGGTGCCTCAAATTCATTTATATTCTTTGGTTTTCCAATGTCGTTAAATACAAGAGATATCCTCGTCTTGGGAATTCTAAATCCTGATTTTAACACATCTTTATGATGGAGCGCATGTATATTTTGCGTCGGAAAGGGCTATTACATACCCTTCCCAAAAGCGATACATTTTTGGTAACTTCACATTACCCACTCACGCCAAACAATGTAAAGATATAGTTCTGATACATTCCGTTCCACCGCCTGCTGTTGTCACTTGATTTGTTGATTTTCATATTCAAAATCGTTTTGGTATAACTTATTCTTTCGTCTGTACGATTATATATATTTTTGACAAATGAGTAAAAAGTTTGAAGATTATTTTGAAATTATGTCGAAACGGGTATTTTAACATGAACCTGTTTTTTATTTCTTTATGCAAATAACAACACTAATCGAGAACTGTGTGTGCCTTTTTTTGTGTGTGTGTAAAATAATTGCTGTTTTATTG